TTTTTGTCGGGTCCCTGGTGGTTCGGGCCCTCCCTGGGATGGTGGACCTGTTGGGGGGAAACCATCGGACCCGTGTGCCGACCAGCCAGGATCGTGCTCAGCCAGCCAACCAGTGTTTTAATCTGAATTCAGGAGGACCGTCTACCCCTGGTGACCCGTCCTCTGGAGCGAACGGGGTGTTTGCTCCCTCTTCTGCGCTTGCCTTGTGCTCTTGGAATACACGTGCTCTCTTCTCATCGTACTCTACTTCGTCTCCACTGGCAGCTCGGCGTTATAAGCAGATGTATGGTCTTGTTGGCAGGTTTGACGCTGTGTGTTTACAGGAGACTCATGGCACGGTGTCTGATGTGAAGATGTTACAGCGTGATGAACGTTGTCGTAGTGCAATTGTTCACCATTCGATGATCGATCCGAGGGCTGGGGGCGGTGTTGTTACTGTCATATCGAGTAAGCTGGCTTCGCAGTTCGAATCGACCACTCCGTTTCCGTTGATTGCTGGCCGTGTTCTCGCCTCGCACCTGTAGGGACGTTGTGGGGACCTAGTGGTTGTCAATGTGCACATGCCGAATACTTCTGATCCAGTTGCGATGTATCGCAGGTGCCTGTGTGCGATTCAGGCTTTCCTTCCATTGGCTGCGCACACCATGTGCTTGATTGCTGGGGATTGGAACTTTATGGAGGTGGACGAGGGGCGGTTTCGGACTGACGGCACGTGGTTGGCAGGGGGTCGGGAACACACTGGTGCCTTTCAGTCTACTTGTGGGTATTGGGCTGAACTTTTCCAGCCAGATCCGACACGGCGTGATGTGTTCCAGGGAGAAGTCCGCGGGGGTGCCCGTCTGGACCGCATCTACACCTCTCTCTCGGCCCTTGTCTTGAATGATTTGGCTGTGACGGTAAATGCCCTGGGGCATGCCGTGAAGACCTTCGCCTCGTCTGACCACATCCCCGTTGTGGCCGCTGTCGTTCTGAGAATGCCATCAGCCTTACCCACCCAGATTCCTAGGTGGATTTCCCGACATGGAGCTTACCATGAGTTATGTACCAGCGCTATTATGGAAATCGACCAGGATTTGAACCCTCGGGAGAAACTGGCTCGGGTGACGGAGATTTTCTGGCAGATGGCCCCTCTGTTCAAGGCTCGGCTTCGGTCGAAGCCCCCGAAAGAGAATTGTGAGAAGCTCCACTCTGCTATGATGGCCTTCCGTGGGTGGCGTATGGGCAGGTTCGACCAGTGTGTGCGTGCGATACGTGCGTATCCTCGGTTACTTCAGTACTTTGATCCAGACCGTGAGAGATGCTTGGATATAGTCGGCTTGGGTGCATTGGTGCAGTCTCTGAAGGATGCTTGGTATGAGTCGGAGGAACGGGCGATGGACGGGTGGGAGGATGACGAGAAGTCTAAGGCTAAGGCCATGGCACGCTTGCAACACCTTCGTCGAGCTTGGTCAAAGATGCGACGGCGATACGGGCTCCCTGGGGTCCTGGACAGTTCTGGACAGCTGCGCCCTTCTCCGACGGCCTCTGCTGAGGCCCTTCGGGACCATCGGCAGGCGGTTTTTGCCGCCAAGGTACCTGATCGGAACCTTTGGCCTGAAATCCTCGCCCATGCCCAGCCGATCCAGTTGGACACATTGCATTGGAAGTTGGAAGTTGATGGTTTTATTGAGCGAGCCCGATTTAAGCATCACTCTGCCCCTGGGGAGGATGGCATTCCATATGGATGCTGGAAAGCTGACAGGGCCGCTGATGCTTTATTTGCTGTTCATGATGAGATGTGCCAAGCGGCGGGGGTACTGTTTCGGCGTGCATGCGTGGAGGAAGGATGTGTTTCCTGCCCAAAGACCCCAAAGACGACGAGAACCCCGCTGTCCTTGTTCGGTTGCCTGATAAGACCCGCCCACTCACGCTTGCGAATACCGATGCGAAGCTCCTGGGCGACGCCTTCTCCATTGGCCTCCAGCGGGCTGCGCCGTCAGTGATCGATCCGATCCAGCGTGGGGGGGTCCCGCGGCGTGGGCTCCTTGACAACGTGGTTGAGATTGAATGGTGGGGTCTTCGTCAGGTGCTTACTGGAGGGGATCGCTCGGGCATCCTTTTCACGGACTTTAAGGCTGCGCTCCCCTCTCTGATCGTCTCCTGGATCCTGGCGGTCTTGGAGGCCATGGGTGTTCCTGGTGAAGTTTGTGGTTTCTATCGCGAGTTGTACCGTGACAATGTGGCTGTAATCCGCTTCCCTGGGACTACTGGTATTACTTTTTCGGTGGAGCGTGGGGTGCGGCAAGGTGATCCTGCTTCGATGCTCATCTTCGCTTATGCGTTCGACCCAGTATTGCGTTGAATGAGGGCCAAGCTCACTGACCATGTCGCTCGGATTAGAGCATGCGCTGGTGATCTTTCCTTCTGCCTTCCAAACATCCTGACTGACCTCCAGCCGACGCTCTCGCTCCTTCGTAAGTTGGAACATGCTGTGGGACTTGGGCTGAACATTCCCAAATGTAAGGTACTGGTGATTGGCTCGCTTGATCCTGATAGATAAGTTGCCCACCTTCGAGCCAAGGGGAGTGAGTACTACCGCATTGGGTTTGTTCGTGTGGTTCTATACTTGGGATTCTGGCTTGGGCCTGGGGCTCTGGACAAAGTATGGGGCAACACCATCCCCAAGTTCTGGATGACGGTTCGGGGGCTTCGTGGGCTTAGGCTTGGGCTTCCACAGGCCATTCGCCTTTCCCACTCGCACTGCATGTCGATTCTGGCGTACCAGTTACAACTCTGTCCAGTGACCAAGGCTCTTCGGAAAGCGTATAATGAGGCCTTACAGGTGGTTGCTGCTGGTCCACGCCATGCCTTCTCGAGGGAGATGCTGACGGGCATGCGAGCGTTGGGAGCCTCTTTAGAATGCTTGGATATCGGTTGTTTTTCTAAAGCTATCAAGTTTCGGGTGGTGATGTATTGCTCCAGTATATATGCTATCCAGTATGAGATGGAGTCGTTGACGGTTTCCCTGGCTGACGATAACTTCATCCCCGCTCGACTGTTATGGCCCTGGTGGAAGTCTTCCTGGATCAGGACTACGGTGACTGAAGTAGGCAACTTCACGGTCCCGTCTCTGGAACCCATCCCCAATCAATCCCTTCAGAAGAAAGCCATGCGCAAGCTCCGAGGGCTCCGTGACCCCACTGTTCCCCTTCGCACCATGGTGCAGAGGGTGTTCAAGTGGGTGGGTCCCGACCGTTTTACGGTAGCTGACTTTCAGGTGCTTGCCCAGAGGATGCGTAAAGTTGAGAAGGACAGCACGATGCACCTCGTCACGGGGGTTCTTAGAGTGCTCTGCCGTGGGGTCTGTACCTCCGGTCGGCTGCATACCACGGTGGAGGGATGTGCGTTTGGGTGTCCTCTGGAAGCGGCCGACGACGACCTGAGGCATTATCGCGTGTGCCCCAAGTTGAAGGCAGGGTTGATTGACATATTCCCCTGTGGAGGACTTCTGAGGTCTTGGACCGCGGCTCTAACGGGTGAGGATTGGCTCCTCACTCTTTGTTGTTTGGGGCCACAGTGGGGGCGGTCACGTGACCTAGTGGGGCGCGCCCTTGTTGATTGCTTTCTGGCCGCGCATAATGCTCGCAGGACTGGCTCGGTCCAGCCGGGGGAGTTTCTTATTGAAGCAAGGCTTCGGCAATTGTCTCGTCGGCACCCCAAGCTTAGTGAGGCGCTACGAGCGCTGCGTCTGGCTGCTGCTGCTGCCGCCCCTCCCCCTGCTCCTCCTGCTCCTCCTGCTGCGCCCCTCCTCTCCTGAGTTGCCGTGTCCCCCTTTTTGGTCCCCCTTTTTCCCTGTGGCCCCCTAGGTAATGGTCCATGCATGATGCTGTCAGAGTTTGATGTGACCCTGGTGGGTCTCTTTGGTTGGCTGGCTGGTTTTCCGAGGTTGTTTTTCCTGTAGTTGTGCGTTCTCTGAGCTCTGTTACGTTTCTTGGTTAATTCAGGGCCCCGTGTTGTCGCCAGGGCTGTGGGCGCTGCTCTGTGCTCATGGTGGCCCTCTCCGCCTGCAGGTGAAGATGGTGCGGTGCAGCTAGAGAGAGTGCCTCTTTTGCCGCGCCGCCGCCACCCTGCCTCGGGAGGGCGCCTCTCTTGCCGCGCCGCCGCCCCCCCGCCTCTCTCCGCCGCCCGCCCCGCGGCCGCCCCGCCTCTCTTGCCTGCGCCGCCTCTCTTGCTGTCCCTGAGCTACAGGTTCTCGGACGGGCGGAACGGTCTGGTTCGCTCGAGCGTCGATGGAGCGTCGCTCCTGTAGGGTAGGCAGGCCTTCCCGCGACGTCAAGCCGTGGCGCCTCCAGACACCCGTTGCGTCTGGCGCGGAGGAGGTCACCCCCCTCTGCCGCGCCCCGCCGTCGCCCTCAGGTTCCCGACGAAGTTCGAGGCACCCCCGCAGCCGCTCCGCGCGAGAGAGCGGTCCCCTCTCGCCCTCAGGTTCCCGACGAAGTTCGAGGCACTTTGGAGGCCAGCTGTCTTGTTTCCCTTGCTCGGTGTGTTGGGGCCTCGTTTTTTGGGGCGTGCCCCTTTTGTCTGCTTCTGCCTGCGGCGCTGTGGGTTGGGCCCTTGGTCAGCCGAGGAGCGAGTGTGCCATGGGAAGGACGCTCGAGTGTGTGACCCCCTTTTGGACGGTGTGCCGTGGGGGGGCGCGCGCCCGCCAGGGATCCAGTACACTCGGAGCAGAGTGCCCGCCGCCGCTTCTCTTTGCCCTGCCCCTGCCGCTGCTCCTCCCCCGTCCTTTGCATGTTAGATAGCACGGTGCCCAGTGCTCGTTGACATTCGGTGTGCGCGCTTGCGGTGGAAAAAAACTCCTCCTCTTCCTCCTCCCATCCCCCCCTTGGTCGTCCTCTGCCACCCCCTCCTCCTCCGCCCCTCCCCGTCCTCCACCCGTTTCCATCCTTATACTTGCTCTTCTCCTTTCCCGCTGGGCTTTCCCACTGGAGAAGGGAGGAAGCCGCCGAGGGACTTCTGAGGCCGGCATGGCCTACGCGGTCGGGCCGGACCCGTCGGACGAGACACGCGTCCTGGTGACCGCCCAGCGGGCCGTCGGCAGCAATCGGGCGGAGAGGCCCCGCGGCCGAAGTCGCGCGCGGGAGGTAGAGCGGCCAGCGCGCCCAGTAAGCACATCAGATAAGAAGTCGGCTCGCCATCTCGATCCCCGCGGTAATCAGTTAATCTCGATGGCCCCAGGGACCCACAGAAGTTCGGGGGCACCTTGAAGGCCTTCGAATGTAGAGGAGCAGTGCGCCCCAAGATTTCCCATCGGGTGCGCCCACTGCAAAGGACCAGGACTCAATGCTTGGGGTGCTTGGGCGTCGTTTGATGCTTCTGCTCCGTCCTCCACGGACGTTTCCGGGGACCTCGGTCCTTCCGAGTGGCTGGGGCGGGGAGCAGTGCCCTCGTGGGCGGCCATCCGAGAGCCCCCCCCCGTCCGCCTCTCAGACGCTGTCCTGCCCTACGGGAGGTTGTATGAGAAGTAATACTTCTCAGAAGACTCCTCGTAGGGCAGGATAATAATACTTTTCAGAAGACTTCTCATAGGGCTGGAACCTCACTTTTTTTCCAGAGCGGGCGAATATGATTCGTCGCTTCTGAAAAAAAGGAAGTTCTAGCTTCCTGCAACAGGCCGCCCCCGCCATCTCCGCTCCCTCTGCGAGCTACTGGGCGGAAAGGGCCAGAGGAAAAGCACAGACCACCGACACCGAGCACCCATCGGAGGGGCCCACCCCTGGACGCTGGCACGCCTGAGCGTCGTCCTGTGCCGGGTGATGCTCGGGCGTGACACCGCATATGCCTGGGCACCCCCCCCATGGATTCTCGGTGGCGGTGGTGTTTGTTTCTCATTTGTGGGAGGGAGGAGATGGGAGAAGAGGGCCCGCCCCGATGGGCGTTGTGACACTATCGCGCCCGGCCAGGCCTCCAGGTCATGAGCATTCTGGGCGGGGCGGGAAGTCGTCCCAAGAGGCGTGGTCGAGAGAGCTCCGGGGGTTCGCGTCGTGAGGCACGGTTGTCGGAGGTCTTGGGGGGGAAGACGGAGGCGAGGAGGATGAGGAGGAAATGCGGTCGGCCCGTATCATAAGGATGCGCGATAACGATGCATGGGCCTTGGACGCCCATTTCGAAGCTTTTCGAGCGGGGCGCGGCCAACGAATGTGGCCAAGGATGGACCGAGGCAAGGATGCAAGGGTACCCTTTGGAAGGTTGCCCATCCTCACTATGTGGGCTGGCTACAAGGGAGGACACGGCGGAGGAGGGAGAAGGAGGGCGGAGGAGCAGGAGAGAGGGAGGGCAGAGGGTGGGTGGATGGGGAGACGGGAGGAGTAGGAGAGAGAGGTGCACGAGAGGATGAGAGAGAAGGATGAACAGGAGGAGGTGGAGGGAGGGGGGGAGCCCGGACCCCCTTGCGTTGCGAAAAAAACATTACGGTTTTTTTTTTGCAGTTTTCGGCCTCCGGGGGCTCTTACGAGGCCTCGGGACCGTCAACAAAGCATTCAGGATGGAAAACCGGTCCCAGGGAGGGCGTCGAGATCTCTGGGGGTCGGCGTTGTGAACAAAATTGCAGCGCGGGGGGTCTTGGAGGGAGGGAGGGAGGGAGGGAGGAGGGAGAGAGGTGGAGGGAGGGAGGGAGGAGGGAGGGAGGGAGGGAGGGAGGAGGGAGGGAGGAGGGAGGAGGGAGGAGGGAGGGAGGGAGGAGGGAGGGAGGACAAGCCAGGGGCGCTCGCGCCTCATCTGACATCCTACAGTCGGGGCGCTGAAGAAGGAACCCTTTTCGTTGGGGAGGGGCTCGGTGTTCCTTGATTGTTCTACAGCTTGCCTTAGGTTTTCATGAGGTTTCCCATGGGAGATCGAAGTGTAACTTCTGGGAAAAAAGGGGCCTCGTTCCTTATTTAGGATTCCTTATGTCAACGCCCCGACTGTAACCCTCCCATCCCTTCCCATGGCGCTGATTTGTCTCTGTCCGCGGACGCGTGTTATAGCCGACCTGCGACTCCCACAGAAAGACAACTTCGTTTCATGCGGAATCGGAAAAGGGGGAGCTTCGTGCACAGGAGGATGAGGAGGATGTGGCGGGTGAGCAGGGGGATAAGCGGGAGGAAAGCGGATGAGAACGAACATCAGCAGCAGTAACTAAAGCGGAAGAATCGGGAGGGAAAGGAGGACCAGGGCAAGGCGGAGGACGGGAAATGAGGAGGGCGACAACGATGAAGCAAGACTCGGCTTCAGAAAAGTGGCCCAGGGGGTGGGGGGCAAGACAAGCAGCAGCAGCAGGAATTGGAGTGGAAGGAGCGGGAGGAACAAGAGGACCAAAGGAAGGCGGAGGAGGGAAACTAAGGGGGGACCACAATGAAGCGAGAGTCTGACCCAGATAAGTGGCACGCGCTAGGGCGAGAGCACGATTCTGAACGACAGGAGCAAGCGCCGATCCGAAAATGAAGCCCACGCTGCAGTGGGAACACCATGTTGATTCGCTGAGAATAATCTTCTTATAGCAAACATGCAATACACCAGCTTTTGATATCCGGTGTGTAAAACAGCACTCGGAGGGGGCGGACGATCTTCCAGACAACTTCAGGGGAGGAGGGAGAGTAAGTATTCATACGGTTGAAGTGTAGAGGAGAAGAAGGGGATAAGGAGGCAATGAGGAGGAGGGGGAGGAGGAGGAGGAGGAGGAGGAGGAGGAGGAGGAGGAGGAGAGGAGGAGGAGATGGAGGAGGAGGAAAAGGAGGAGAAGGAGGAGGGGATGAGGAGGAGGGGATGAGAAGGAGGAGGGGAAGAAGGAGAGGGGACGGAAAACGGTGAGGATGGATATTTATGAAAGGCGGTGGTGCGTGAAGCGAGGGAGGAGGACGGGCAGGAGGAGCAGGAGGAGGAGGAGGAGGTGGTGGCTGGAAGGACGGATTGTGGACGAAGGGTTGCGGAAGAGGGGGAGGAGAGGAACCTCGAATCATCAGGGCTGGGGGCGGTCAGTGAGAGCTATATATTCGCACATCGGGGGCCAAAACTGAAGTTATCCCGGACCGCAGTTATTCCGGATAATTCGGGCGTCCCAGGAGGAGGGGAACCCATTCTGGCCTTTATCCTCTATCCCCCTCCGCCCCGCGTCGCCATCCACCTTCCGTCTGGGAGAAGTGATCAGTTCTTGCCCGTCCATGAAGCCCCCGAGCTTGAAAGTATGATTGCTGTGAAAAGCTGCACGCTGCAACGGATTCGAATCTGTACGGCAGCGTGCTGCGATGTTTCGAAGCAGGACAGGCTGGGGACGATGAACACAAACAAACATGTAACGCAGATGCATGTCAATACCACTATCGATAACAAGGCCGTGCTCGCTCTGTCAAGCCTCACCTGGGTGTGCGCGCCCTCGGGCGCTCGATCAATCGCCCCTGCTTGAACCATCGTGACTACGGAATGCCCCCTTAAGGAGAGCAAGGGTGACGGGAGACGGGGGAGGGGAGGGAGGACGGGGGGGAGGGGTTGAGTCGGAGAGGGGAGGGGAGGGAGCAGCGAGCAGAGGCAACCGTTCGGGGAGTGACGAAACGAGGAAGACATGCTCATGGAGAAACGAAGAGAGGGAAGGGTGCAGGGAGAATCGAGCATGGAGACATGAGTAGGAATATGGGATACCCCGGGGAGGAAGAGAAGGCATTCGGAGGAAAAGCGATGCGAGGGAGGGGGGAGGAGCAGGAGGAGGGAACAGAGGGAGCAGGGGACGGGGAGGTTGGCGGCTAGGAGGGAGTAGGACGGGGTGGAGGAAGAGGGAGGGAGCGAGCAGGGGAGGGAGGGAGGGAGGGAGCAGGGGAGGGAGGGAGGGAGGGAGAGGAAGAGGGAGGGAGGGAGCAGGGGAGAGGGGAGGAGCAGGGTGGAGGGCCGTGGGCTGCGCACGTAGACTTGACAGCGCGTGGTCCCCGAGCAGGTGCCCCACGCCAGCGCATGGGCTGTGCCTGGACGACGAGGGCCCGGCCCCTGCAAGGAGCCAGCATCCTCCACCTGCCCCTGCCTGTGCCTGGACTCCTCCACGAGCTGCCTCCTCTTCCTCTCCTCCTCGGGGTATGTGGAGCCGGGTGTTTTTTCCTACACTTGTGGGCTTCCTGGAGCGCTCTCGTTGCCTCGGCTGGGCTCCCTTTTTGTCGAATTGCTGGCCAGAGCGCATCCTTCAGCAGGTCTGGCGAGCGATCTTGACGAGGAGGGCGCGGACCTCTTGTCGTCGCGAACGAAAACGCGGCAGACGTATTTTCAACATTTCGGCATCCTGGTTCCGTTTCTGGGCCCCTGGATCCCCAAGAACGGCCCGTGACGAAACATTGGTCGCAGGAATCGGGTCGAAATTTACAAGCACGCTTGTCGAACAAAAATACAGTGTCGGAGGAAACCGCGTACCCCAGATAATAAAAGGACCCCCCCTTGAGACCTGAGAGTTGGTTATCCCGGGCCAAGAGAGAGTTGGCCGTGAAAACAGTTGCGAGGCCGAACTTCCTTATCGCCAGGGAGAGTACGAATCGAAGTTGGTATATTGTTGTGCTTGGTCGCATATTACATGTCTACGTCCTTTTGTTTTTACTACTTCCACCACTACCACTACCACCATCATTCTTACTACTATAATTACGACGACGACGACGACGACGACGACGACGACGACGACGACGACGACGACGACGACGACGACGACGACGACGACGACGACGACGACGACGACGACGACGACTACTACTACTACTACTACTACTACTGCGACCATTACTATTACTATTGCTACGACTACGACGACGATGATCACTACTACTACTACTACTACTACTACTACTACTCCTACTACTACTACTACTACTACTACTACTACTACTACTATTGCTGCTGCTACTACTACTACTACAGCAGCTACAACAACTACTACTACTACTACGACTACTACTACTTCTATTATGGCAACACCTACTTCTACTAGTACTACAACCGATACTACAACATCTACGAATACTACTACTGCTACTACTACGACGACTAGTACTACTCCGACTACTCCTCCTACTACTACGACGTCTTCTACTACCAATATTACTTTTATTGCCACTACTACTGCTACTACTGTTATTTTTACAACTACTACTACGACTACGAGTGATACTACTACCACCACCACTACCACTACCACTACCACTACCACTACCACTACCACTACTACTACTACTACTACTACTACTACTACTACTACTAGTACCACTACTAGTAGTAGCACAGCTACTCCTACTATGATTACGATTACTATTACTTCTTCAACAACGAACAGTCGTAATATTAGTATTTGTATTACTACTACTACTACTACTACTGCTACTACTACTACTATTACGACTACTACACCTACTACTACTACTACTACTACGACTACTACTACAACTGCGACTACTACTCGTACTATTAGTACTACTGCTCTTTCTCTTTCTTCTACTACTACTACCACTACCACTACTACTACTACTACTACTGCTACTACTACTACTACTACCACCACTACTACCACTACTACTACTACTACTACTACTACTACTACTACTACTACTACTACTACTACTACTACTCCTTCTCTTACAACAGCTACTACTACTACTACTACTACTATTACTACTACTACTACTACTACTTCTACTACTACTACTACTATTACTACTACTACGATGACGACGACTTCTACTTTTACTACTACTATCATCACTATTATTGTTACTACTATGGTCACATCTCACCTTCGGGTCTACTCGCAATGATTGGGTAAGAGCAAGGGTTCGGGTTTGGATTCGGGTTCGGGTTGGGGTTCGGATTCGGGGATACGTTAGAATTCGCATACAGGCTGACTACATCAGAATTCGAACGCCATCGGAATACATTATAATCCGAACGCAGTAGGGGTGCACTATAACTCGTTTCCAATAGGAATACATTATATTTCAAATATAACAGGCATACAGTAACATTCGAATCCATTAGGTACACCATAGAATCCTAATGCCATCGGGATACAGTGCAAATTGAATACACTAGAGATACAAGACAATCCGGATACAATAGGGGTGGAATAGAAGTCGAATGCAAAGATCGTCAAACACAACTTGAGCACAAAAGGAATACATTCGAATTCGAACCCATTAGGAGTTCTGTAGAATTCGAATACAGTGAAATTCGACGACCATCGGGCTGCACATATGATTCGAAACCAATGTATATATATACAAGTGGCACGTGTGTGCCCAGGTTCATACAAACAATTGAAGGGGCGTTTGAAGCAGGAGTGACATGCAACATCGAAGTCGCACTCGAGCGCAAGTGGGGTTGCCACACCTTGCGATGTGTGTACCAGGACCCCCCAGGAAGCCTCAGGAGGCCCGACTTGGATACCAGAAGAGGCTCCAGGAGGCCCCAGGATTGTGAGTGTTGTGCGTGTGTGTGTGTGTGTGTGTGATGTATGCTTTGTGTGGTGCGTGCTTTTTGTGTGTTGTAGGTGTTGTGTGTGTGTGTGTGTGTGTTATGTTTGTCTAGCGTGTGATGTGTTGGGCGTGATTTGTGTCTCTGTGTGCATGTAGTTCTGAAGCCCCAGGAGGCCCCAGGAAGCCCCAGGCGGCCTCAGGAGGCCCCAGGAGACCCCAGGAGGCTTCAGGAGGCCCCAAGAGGCTCCAGGAGGCCGCAGGAGGCCCCAGGAGGCCCCAGAGGTTTCAGGAGACCCCCAGGAGGCTCCGAGGCGGGGTCTGGGGTGCCAGAAGGTTCAGACCCCAGGAGGCCCCAGGAGGTTCCAGGAGGCCCCCAGGAGGCTCCGAGGCGGGGTCTGGGGCTCGCAAGCGGTTTCCCTGAGAATCGGGGTTTTATTTTGGAAGGATTTTTCAAGCGAAACCGCCATTCCCTGAGAATCGGGGTCACAATTATTGAAATTACCATGTGTTTTTGAAGGTTTTATGTTAACATGTTGAAATTCCCATGTGTTTTTGGACCCTGACGTCACGATCTGCGTGAGGGGTGCCACCGATTTTCAGAATTTCGAGGATGTCCCGAGCGAAACGCCCAGAAACATCGCGGACGCGTGCGCATTAATCGCCTCTGAGCTCTACTCCCTCGGAGAGGTGCGTATGATAATATATATATATATATATATATATATATATACATATATGCATATATATGCATATATATATATATATATATATACACAAATGGCTGTGCCCAGGCTCATACACATTAGCCTGGCGAAGGACCCAAACATATGCAGTTGTGAGTACCGCAGTTGTGAATATCGTCCTTGGTGGAGCTCCTTATGGGGCCACGAACTGTGTGAGGGGCCTGCCACAGTGGTGGCGGTCGGGAACCGCATGCGGGCACCCCCACTGGGGCCTTCGGTGGAGTTTCCTGTGGGACCACGAAGCGCTGCCCTGGGTGGGGGAACCGCATGCGGGCACACCCACTGGGGCCTACGGTGGAGTTTCCTGTGAGGCCACGAAACGCTGCCCTGGGTGGGGGAACCGCATGCGGGCACACCCATTGGGGCCTGCGGTGGAGCTCCCAATGGGGCTGCGAAACGCTGCCCTGGGTAGGGGAACCGCATGCGGGCACCCCCACTGGGGCCTGCGGTGGAGCTCCTTGTGGGGCCACGAAACGCTGCCCTGGCATGCGGGCACCCCCACTGGGGCCTGCGGTAGAGCTCCCTGTGGGGCCACGAAGCGCTGCCCTGGGTGGGGGAACCGCATGCGGGCACCCCCACTGGGGCCTTCGGTGGGGCTCCCTGTGGGACCACGAAGCGCTGCCCTGGGTAGCCCACTGGGGCCTGCGGTGGAGCTCCCCGTGGGGCTGCGAAACGCTGCCATGGGTGGGGGAAACGCACGCGGGCATTCCCACTGGGGCCTACGGTGGAGCTCCCTGTGGGGCCACGAAGCGCTGCCCTGGGTGGGGGAACCGCATGCGGGCACTCCCACTGGGGCCTGCGGTGGAGCTCCCTGTGGGGTCACGAAGCGCTGCCCTGGGTGGGGGAACCGCATGCGTGCACCCCCACTGGGGCCTTCGGTGGAGCTCCCCCCTATGGGGCCACGAATCGCTGCCCTGGGTGGGGGAACCGCATGCGGGCACCCCCACTGGGGCCTTCGGTGGAGCTCCCTGTGGGGCCACGAAACGTTGCATGGGGGAACCGCATGCGGGCACCCCCACTGGGGCCTTCGGTGGAGCTCCCTGTGGGACCACGAAACGTTGCATTGAGTGGGGGAACCGCATGCGGCCCCCCCCCCCCACTGGGGCCTTCGGTGGAGCTCCCTATGGGGCCACGAAGCGCTGCCCAGGGTGGGGGAACCGCATGCGTGCACCCCCACTGGGGCCTTTGGTGGAGCTCCTAATGGGGCCACGAAACGCTGCCCTGGGTAGGGGGAATCGCATGCGGGCACCCCCATTGGGGCCTGCGGTGGAGCTCCTCCCTATGGGGCCACGAAACGCCGCCCTGAGTGGGGGAACCGCATGCGGGCACCCTCACTGGGGCCTTCGGTGGAGCTTCCTATGGGGCCACTGGGGCCCACGGGGGGTGGGGAGGTGGGGGGAGGAGGAGGAGAGGAAGGAAGGAAGGAAGGAACGCGGGGCGCTGTCACTTCAAAACGAGGACCCAACACCACAGGATGGTTGGGAACAACTGAAAAGTCGTTTGGAGCAGGAAGACGCCATGACGGCGGGATCGGAGATGGAGAAGGGGAAGCTGGCGCGGCGCCACCAGGGCGGCATCGAGTGCAATAGCGGGGTCGCACTCGAGCGCAAGCGGTGTTGCCACACCTTGCGATGTGTGTACCACGGGCCCTCAGGAAGCCTCAGGAGGCCCGACCAAGATGCCGGAACATATTCCAGGAGGCCCCAGGAAGGGTCGTCTGGGATCGAGATTGCGAGGATGTGCATGGAGGCCTAAGGAGGCCCGACCAGAAGGTTGCAAGAGGCTCCAGGAGGCCGAAGGAGGGT